CAGTCAGTGACAATTTTGCATGTGAGCTTTGACAAACACCAGTGCCTTTCTTTGAGCATTGAGAACACTTCCTGGGTCCTTGTTAAGAATAGAGCCGACCTGTGGAGAAAACTGATGGTCTGACCTTGGTGCTGGCCATTGTTTTGAGCACAAGAGTGGTTGCGAGCATTAACATGCAGCTAGAAACCATGGTAACCACTGATGTTTATTTTAATCCCATAAGAGTACAGTAGAGATACAGACTGAATCAACATTTTCCACGTTAGGCAGAGCTCTGTATCATTGCACACTCGTAGGTCAGAAGATACCACGAAGGAGAGTTACAGTAATACAAGATAAGAAAAGATCACTTTATTAGCCATATACAATTTCTTGCATTAGGCATTTGTCTTTTTGCATACCCCAGCTTGCTCTCCATGAGACGCACAGGTCGGGAGAGAGTAGCTTGGAGTCAGAGCACAGGGGCAGCCGTTTATACAGCGCCCCTGGAGCAGCTGGGGCTCAAGGGAGTCCAAATTCCTCTGCCGGGTGCGGGATTTGAACCGGCAACCTTCTAGCCACAGGCGCAGATCCTTAGCCACAGAGCCACCGCTCCGCATACTTCATACATTGGTGTCTAACTGGTCTTTTTGTTACCTGACTGCCGTGGCATACTGCAGACTGTAACCGGATATGTGAACTGTCTGCCTGTGAAGAGCCGAGGCACGTGCCTTGGTGTTCGCTGCGAGTACGGTGTCCCCCCTGTGTCTCGCCGTGTGGCAGCTCATCTCCCTGATCGAGAACAACTCCGTGGTCATCATCCGCGGCGCGACGGGGAGTGGCAAGACCACGCAGCTGCCCCAGTTCATCCTGGATTACTACTACGAGCAGAACGTGCCCTGCCGCCTGGTGGTCACCCAGCCCCGCAAGATCGGCGCCACCAGCATCGCCCGCTGGGTGGCCCGCGAGCGCAAGTGCATCCTGGGCAGCATGGTGGGGTATCAGGTAGGAGCAGCGTCGCCCCGGACTGAGGCAGTGAAGCCCCGTGAGGGGCACCATTTGAGCTCTGCTGTCCTGCTGCTAGCAGATCACACAGAATGGGGAAAGGGACACAGGCAGGTGCTCCTAGAACCACATTTCCTCCAGAGCTTCTAAAAGACTTCTGGTTGTTTTTTTTGTCTTGTTGCGTTGATAACCTGCCCCTTCCTTTGTGCCCTGAATTTACCACAGTTCCCCTCTTGACCAAACGGATGGACAGAGAGAACCCACATGAACTTGCTCAGCCCATCCGGAAGGCGCCCAGGCCCCTGGCACTACTCGCTGCACCAGCTATCTCATGCCTTATTAAGTGCAGAGTTGTTGTAATAGTACACCTGATAATTAACAAAAACATACATGGCGCACTGTACCACAGCAGTGCTGGTTTGTGTTCTTTATTTATGCGCATTGTACTGTAATTAAATTGACTTCAATCCTGCAGGTACCTATTCTCTTGCCTGCTCTGCATTTGTGGAGGCGTTTCTAGAATGAATACCGTGCCCAAGCCAATGATGCAGGTCTTGCTCAAAAAGTCTAAAAGCATGTGGTGGTGCTGGCAATATTATCATGGCATTGAAAGATGTCCCCCCCCTGGGTAAAATAAAGCAAGGGGCTTGTATAAAAGTCCTAGCAAGGAAGTGCAATTATTGACTCTTTCCCTTTGTGGTTGCATAAGCCGTGTTAAGGACATTGACTTAGTCCAGCACTGTAGAGGGATGCATTTTCCCTCTAGTAACACTTCATACGAAATCCTATTTGACGTTTCTTTTACAGCGGGAGAGAAAAAAAAAAAACATTTTAACATGCTGGAATGCTTCCAGATTGTCAGACTGTATTGTCTTGAGCCGCGAAGAGGAGCGGTCTAATTATAACTCCTACAATATAAGGTTTGGAATTCACCGCCTCAGTCTTTTTCCAGCCACGCTAGCTAGCTCTTCTCTTCCACAAACACTGCCCCCCCCTGCCCCTGGTGTTACACTGCACCCGTCTCCTCCTGTAATCGTCAGCGCACGCCCGGCCGCCAGGCACCATGACATCACCCATCTCTGCGCCCCGCGCCTGGCGGCCAGGCCGTTTTTGCTGGAAAAGGACTGAGGCGGTGAATTCCAAACCTTATATTGTAGGAGTTATCGGTCTTGTATTTTACATTTTAAAAAAGGTATATTGTGTAATAAGCTTAATGTTACATCCCAGCGTTCTATAGAAACATACTGTTTAGCATTAAGACAACCTTTGAAAGGCATTCGGGAATTTTACAGTTCTTTTTCCATAAGGTAAAACAAAGTTGAAGTGAAACTGATTTTGAAGAAGTTGTTGCATTGACAAATTTACCTCTTCTGAGATACTTTATAGATTGGGGCAAATTTAAAATAATTAAGCTCGCGGCTAACAGTTGTTTGTAATAAATTGAATAACCCAAACCTTAGGCAGGAGAGCAGTCAGGTGTCCCATTACAGGCCGAAGGCTGAAGATCTTTTGAGCCATCTCTCATGTGGCGAGTCTTACTAGGAAGGGTCTCGAGCAGTTCGGCTGGTCTCGGCTTGTTCCTGTCCTCCAGCGGGCAGGAGTTTAGCTGATGCTCATGTGCCTCTTGTCTGAATGCCTGGGCCCGCGTGGAGTGACTGTCCAGTGCCTGGGGCTCCCTGGCCGTTCCCGAAGAGCGGATCAGCTGGTCGGCTGTGCAGCAGCTTCACAGAGAGGAGGGCAGAGGGCAGAGGGCAGAGGGCAGAGGGCAGAGGGCAGAGGGCAGAGGGCAGAGGGCAGAGGGCAGAGGGCAGAGGGCAGAGGGCGTTTGGGTTGTTCCTTCTCTCTGGGCTCTGTGTCTTCTGTAGGTTGGCGGCACGGGTGGCCAGTCTGCGGCGGCGGCGGCTCCTGCTGACCGCCTGTCTTGTTTCCTCCGCTGGTGAGCAGGTGGGGCTGGACAAAGTGGCCACCGAGCACACGCGGCTCATTTACATGACCACTGGGGTCCTCCTGCAGAAGCTTGTGAACGCCAAGACGCTGACGGAGTTCTCCCACATCTTCATCGACGAGGTGCGTCTGTGCCCCCGCCTGCTGGCTGACACGCTGGGGCTTAACGTCTGTCGGGCCACCAGCTCTTAAACTGCCAATTCATTTTGAGTGTGGAGGATGCTATTAATCGGGGTTAAACTGTCTGCTTCCAGACACAGTTGGCGTCTGTTAAAAATTATCATGGGATTTTCGTTTTGGTAAATTTCATTAGGTGACGGGCAACTTTAATATTCTTTTTCCCCGTTCCTTCATGCCCATTCAGACCCTTTGTTATGGAGTTAGCCAGGCTTGCTGGTCAGTTAAAATGATGTATAATGGGAAGGGTTCTGTTCACCACGCTGGCTCCCTTTCCGATTGCGAGTGCCCGGGTGAAGGTGCTGTGGGTCCGAGGAGCAGAGAGCTCGGTCTGGGTGGTGCTGACGGATCCGGTCTCTCGTTTCAGGTGCACGAGCGCACAGAGGAGCTGGACTTCCTGCTGCTGGTTGTGCGCAAGCTTCTGTACTCCAACTCGCGCTACGTGAAGGTGGGTCTGTCCTCTTGCGGTCCTTTTTTCTTCCAGCTCCAAGCTTGAGCAGGTCCCACCCCACACAGGGGAGGTGAGCTGCCCCCCCCCAGTGAGGGCTCGCAAAGCCCGGCAGCCGCCCTCCTCTGGACCAGACCGGCTCAGTCGGGATTTCTTTTTGTCATGTGGGCGAATTATAATCTCGGGAACTTCTTATGAAGTCGGGTTACATCTGGGCAGAGTAAGCATTCTGTTGTAGTATCAGATGTCATGTGAGTTGGTGACTGAGGGCCAGGATCTAAAAAGAATCAGGAGCTGCAAGGAGTATACAGTGCAAAGAAAAAGTGCAAGACTGTCTTGCTTCCCTGAACCTTGCTACTATCCATGTGTGCAGGTCATCCTTATGTCCGCCACTATTAACTGTAAGGAGTTTGCGGAGTACTTCAGCTCTCCCATTCGCAGCCTGATGAGCCCAGCCTACGTGTTTGAGGTGGAGGGTGTAGCCTACACTGTCGAAGACTTCTACCTGGACGACTTGAGGCACCTTGTAACCTTCAAAGTAAGAAGTCTGTGTGGTCTCTGTGCACTGTCGCCCCCTAGTGGGAGGTGTGGTTGCTCGCCGAGGTGCCCCTGCGCTGGTTGGAGCTTCCCCACCTGTGCGGCTAGCAGGTCTTTCAAATCGCAGGAAAAGAGAGAGAGCTGAACACAGTCAGGGCAAAACCTCAGTGATCTGTGTTTATTATAAGGAGCTGCTGAGAAAGATGAAGAGCAAAGGAAATGGGACACTTTTTTTAAAATGGAAAAGCTCAACATATCTGTTGAGAACTGTCCCTTAGCCATTTCCTAAATTCTGACTGAAAAGATTCTTACTATTAAATTTGGCTTTTTTTTCCCTGCACAAAAACAGATATTCCTTTGACCCGTTGTGCTTGTTAACCTGCTGGGTTGGCGTGCACAGGCTCCTGTGTGCTCTCTCAGCCACCTCTGAGGGCTGGATATTTCACATTTCCCGTGTTATTTTAAGGAAGTGCCCTAAAGACACAAGTGGTTGGTTCACATCGGGATGGGGCCTGTAGGTTCTGTTGCATCAGTACAGCATGTACAAGGACCCCAATGCTTGTGCTGCTGTGTGCAAGGTGGAGCAGCCCCAGGATCCCTACATCAGCGAGCAGATGTACAGCGTGGCAGTCGGCCTCATCCAGAGCTTCGACGACCTGGAGGCCAGGGAGAAGAGGTGCGCCGGAGATCGGGCCGCCTCTAGGGGTCGAGAGCTATCTGGCGTCTCGGGGCCTGCAGTTTTCCATGCACTTAAAAAAACATGCATTCATCTAACAGCATGTCTGTATATAAAAAAAAATGAGGCTTTGCCATATTTCAATACATGTTTTACAAGTTTCAGGTCCACTTTAGCATAAGGGGGCGTGTGGGCTAAGTGTGGGGTTCTCTTAATTCTGTGGCTACACAGTAGGCCCTGTAAAGAGGTGTTTGCAGAACCTGTTTGAAATGCCTAGGACTGTGTTGATTTGCCTCGCTCTTCCCTGCGCAGAGCTGAAAAGCAGGAGGGCTCTCCAGCCGTGCCCGAGCGAGGCAGCGTCCTGGTGTTCCTGCCAGGTAGGCGACGCCTCGGTCTGGAAACCTCCTGTGACAGTAGAGCGCGCGTTCTGACCCGCTCTCTGAAGAGACCCATGTGAGGCTAGGGATCCAAGTCTGACCCGACTAGAGGACGGCTGTCTAGAACCAGCATGGCTTTCAACCAGGAGCAGTAGGTCGTGCCGGAGCAATTTGTGAGTTATTGAACGAGAAACTACAGTAGTGCAGCACTACGTGGAAATCCTTCTAAAATGGAGAACAGGCAGAACAAAATAATCCGGACGTGTTATTGAAGATCCCACTGACTACCACACAGGCTAGATGGGCTAAGTGATCTCCTTGTTTGTAGCTCTTATGTCTCCTCTGTCGTCTGCAGAAAAGGCGATCCAGAGACTCATTTTTCATGACTTGCAGAGTTTCCTCTGTGTGTTCCCAGGTTTGTCGGAAATAAACAGCATGCAGGACGCCCTAGCTAAGCTGGTGCGGAAGAGGTGAGCAGCGCACATGTGGAGCTGGGTGGGAGGGGGGTGGTTGAGTCGGGGCAAGCGTACGTCCTGAAGTACCTGCGCAGGCCAGCGGGCACACGCCTGTGATAGACCCCACCGTACCCGGGCCGTCCCCAGGGTCAGCACGCACAGAACCCACGGAGGTTCATACTTCCTGCCTTTCAAATCGTAAACACAAGCTCAAAAGACCTGTAAAGGCAGAATGACTTGTATGAAAAAGGACCCCAAGTGTTGCTGCCACTGTGCACACCCTGTAAATTCAAAGGCAAAGTCCAGCTCCCATCTGAGGGTGCATTTCTCAACGTATCGCCAGATAACTCCTAATTCATCCCCGCTGTGACTTATTAAAAGCGATTTCCAGAGGCCATGTAGTGCCCTCTAGTGGGCGATGATCTGCAATTGCACCTCTTTCTCCGGCTGGCCTGTCACAGCGCCGTGAGTCTGTGAGAGGTCTTTCTTTCCAGAGGCAGCGCCACAGCCCGGGTCAGCCCTTTGAGCCTGGGTGCGCGAGGGCCGCAGAGCTGATGGTTTGTCTTGTCTTGCAGGCTGCAGGTGTATCCCCTGCACTCCTCCGTCACTCTGGAGGAGCAGAACGGCATCTTCCTGGCGCCGGTGCCCGGATACAGGAAGGTACTGCTCTCCCCTGTTCTGGAAGTGGGAGATATGGCCGAGATTGATGTTTTCTGGAGATGCTGATAAATATGCCTTACGACCATTTTTGGTTTTGCTTGCATAATTAATACACAATGCATATTTGAACCTAGAATGACAAATTCTTCATCTTAAGCCGAGTAAAATAATAACCTGTTAAGCACCTGGCTGGTGCTTGTCCATGTATCTTGCAAAGATGGTGTTTTGCTGTTTTGCTCAGTGAGAGGCAAGTTGAAGTTTTTATTCTTTCTAGCATCCAGATACAGAGGTTTTTCCCACCCCTTCAGAGGAGTGCCCAGAGTCCAGTCATTAACCGATCTTGACCGCATGAGCGCGGTCACTCAGTTTCTCCCCCTTCAATGATCCGTTTCCGTTTTCATCCACACGCAGGTCATCCTTTCCACCAACATAGCCGAGAGCTCTGTAACGGTTCCAGATGTTAAATATGGTGAGTGCCTTTCTTTTGCTGTTCATGCGATTGATTAAATTTAGGTGACTGGTCCAATCTAATTGTCTTGCTTTCAACACACCTACATTGTTTTAGAAATAAAACGTCATTACAGGTAGTAAATTGAGTTCGTTGTTTTGCTTTATTTTTGAAATGGCAGTGATCGACTTCTGCCTGGTGAAACACCTGGTTTGCGATAAAGAAACCAATTTCCAGTCCTTGCGCCTCACTTGGGCTTCCAAGACCAACTGCAACCAGAGACGAGGTGAGGCAACCTCGCGCCGATCCCCGTCTTCACAGTCCTTCCCTCCCCTGCAGAGCGGTCTGTCTCGACACACGAGGCGCTTTGCTTGCACACGGAGACGTCTGTCCACGTGCTGAGGGGTTGCTAGACTAACTCTTCCTGTGCAGGGTGTCGAGGAGCCATGGGGTGGTGCTACCCAGCCCCAGTCGGATGGGCTTGGATCAGCCATGTCGGAGCTTATCGGCGAGCGTGTTATTGTTTTTAAACTTGGGGCTCTTTATTTGACTGTCCTGAGAATTAATCTAATTTTTGTCTTAAAATCGGACTACAAGAGCGAGGCTAATTTTTTTTTTTTTCCTGCTGAAGCAGAACGTCTGCTGTTTTGAGGTGGTGTAGGTATGGTCATTATAGAAGCTTTTCTGTCCAGCTGTGGTAAAACTGAAAGATGTTCATTGTTTTAGAAACCGTAGCCTTTGGTAGAGCGCGGAGGTACCACATTCACTTCACTTATGAAGTACTGACAGACTTCTGTAGCCTCTTCACGACAATTAAGATCTATAGGTGCAGGCAGGTGTGTGGCAGGATTGATATATTGTTGAGATTTTCCTTTCTGCAATGTGATCAAGGCTGTTTATTTGTAGGTCACCATGTAATAATAATTCCTTACACTTATATAGTGCTTTTCTGAACACTCCACTCAAAGCGCTTTACAGGTAATGGGGATCCCCTCCACCACCACCAATGTGCAGCCCCACCTGGATGATGCGACGGCAGCCATAGTGCGCCAGAACGCTCCCCACACATCAGATATCAGTGGGGAGGAGAGCAGAGTAATGTAGCCAATTCATAGAGGGGGATTATTAGGAGGCCATGATTGGTAAGGGCCAATGGGAAATTTGGCCAGGACGCCGGGGTTACACCCCTACTCTTTTCAAGAAACGCCCTGGGATTTTTAATGACCACAGAGAGTCAGGACCTCGGTTTTACGTCTCATCCGAAGGACGGCACCTGTTTACAGTATAGTGTCCCCATCACTACACTGGGGCATTAGGACCCACACAGACCACAGGGTGAGCGCTCCCTGTTGGCCCCCACTAACACCAACAAATTGGTGGTCGGGCCAGTAAGAAAAAGCAGATAACAAAACCCAATTTGGTCACGTGAAAATAATTCCCGCAGGCCTCTGTCAGGATAGGTTTTAAACTGAAGTGTGAGTCAGCCTCTAGTGACTGATGATAGTAGTGCAAGTATCTGTGCACCTGTCCATGTGGAGTTAAAAACCCAGAGATGAATATGCATGCCCATGGGTTAGGGTGGAAGATTAATGATTTCCTAGTATCCTGTATCCTAGGTATGTATAGTATATTAATTTAGGGCTTTTCCCAAACACATTATTATGGGAGGAACTTAATACTTTGGGCATATAAAATCTGTTTGCAGGTGTATGTGGGTATATACAGTATAGATAATGCTGGATCATCTACAGTCTGACCCCAAGAACTAGTTAGAGCAAATGTGTTTGATGTGCCTTTTCCATTATCCGCCGTTGCGAAGCTGTTGTACATGACTTCGTTCGGTCGGTGCCATGACCGCTACATTCCGGCTGACCGCGCCTGGAAAGAGCCTCCTGTAGACAGCAGTTCCTGTCGCCCTCTCGCAGGGCGCGCTGGGCGAGTCTCCAAGGGCTTCTGCTATCGGCTGGTGACCAGGGAGTTCTGGAGGAGCGAGATCCCGGACTTCGTGGTTCCCGAAATGCTGGTAATGCCAGACAAGCCTGGGCTTCTCGGTCATGTTGGCAGCTAGTCTTGGTGGTCATGGAGTTGTGAAGGCGGTGCTCCCAGCTATTGAATCACTCGGTTTTTGAAGTATCGCAGCAGTCATTTTCAAGTGTGTAGAGCTCCACAGCTCTTAATTTCAAGGTGATGCAAGTAATTCTGCCTGCTGTGTCAGGGCTGTAGTGCATCTTAGCATGTGTTTTTAAGGTACTGTAACAGTGTCACACAGTAGACAATGTCAGATATTCAGGGGAAGAGGTAGAGCATTTTAAAAATACTTTATCTTGAATTTAGGGACAGGCCCCAGTGGATCTTTTTCTTATGCAGCAAAGCCTTGTCGTTGTCAAAATCTGTTTTCCTCCCCCCATCTCCTCCTGTGTTTCCAGCGCTCCCCCCTGGCCAACACCCTGCTGAAGGTAAAGCTGCTGGACATGGGGGACCCCCGCTCCGTGTTGAGCACTGCCCTGTCCCCCCCGAAACTGGCCAACATCCAGCGGACCGTCCTGCAGCTCAAGGAGGCGAGTGAGGGAAGGGGGCAGTCTGAGCTGGGCCATGTGCACCACACCTCGGCTTGAACCGTAGGCCCGTTCAGCTACACTCGCGAAACCCCGAGCAAATCAGGTTGTTTCTGCATTTTTTCCAGTCCCTTTTGGATACAACATTAAAATAAATGCGCCTCCCCGTGTAGTTTTCTCACCGGCCACTTTGTGCAAGAGTGAGCCACTCGCTCGCAGCCTCTTCTGCACCTGGGCAGAGGTTGTGGCCTTGAGTTGTGTTCCTGTTGCTTTGTTTACCATGGACCTTGCCAATTCCTCGGTGCTCTTCGGTCATTTCCCCCCAAACTCCGCCTCATGGACTGCTAGATCTTGTTTTTTTTGTGTCCACTGTTAAAATCGGTAAGTTGTCTCAGTAAGTAATCCATTGCCTCCCCCTCCCCCATGTAGTATCATCCCTAATCCACAGCTTTGTATATATTTTTTTTTGCTGCACCATTACCTTATTTTGTTCGGTTGGCATGTGTGCTTCGGTGTTTATTTTCACACTTGCGTGCACTAGTGTTCTTATGTCCAAGAACAAGCCGACTAGTCCCAGAGCCTCTGTGTTGAAAACCGAGCAGTGCCCGCACCAGCGCAGCCAGACAGGAGAGTACCCCGCTGCATGAATGCAGACCATAATGCATTGTGCTATGTACCGTCACTCGGTACAACAAGCTGCTCTGTCCGCAGGGGACTAACTGGGTGACAAAACGGTGATAGCTGGACGTGTGGACCAGGGAAGAACGGTTTGTGATGTCCGCTTCTTACCTTTGACGGTGAGCGCGTGTGTCTCTGCAGCTGGGTGCTCTGTCGGTGATGCGGGACAGGCAGGGAGCGAACAGCTGTGATGGGGAGCTCACCTTCCTGGGCCGGGTCCTCGCTCACCTGCCCGTCGACCTGCACCTGGGGAAGATGATTGTGCTGAGCCACGTGTTCGGGTGTCTGGAGGACTGCCTGATCATAGGTAAGGAGGCCTCTCGACTTGGAGAGGGAAGGAGCTCCTGCAGGACGGTTTGAGCCGCAAACCAGACTCGCCACGGCGAAAACAGATCTTGCTCGCTCCGCTCGGGTGGGGACCCGAGGTGAATTAAAACATCCTGGGACTTTGTAATTCAATTTATTTTGGACATAATGACTGTGCTTGCTCTGTTGCTTATTTGATAATCGCACGACCTGCTAGGATATCCAGAACTGAGGTAAAAGTGCATCAACCTGCCAAAATAAACGACACATTAGATGGCCAAATCTCTTTTCTTTGACATGGGTGGGCATTTTTAATTTGTCTTTTGTTTTGCAAGCACATTAACATTCTAAGGAGTGAGCTACTGTAACAGATTAGCTTTGCACTGCATCTCGAATGATTTTGTTAATCGTTGATGGAAACGGATCTTTGTTCCCCTTTCTGTTAGCTGCTGCTCTGTCTCTGAAGAGCTTCTTTGCCATGCCTTTCCTGCAGCGCCTGGTTGGGTACCGGTGGGTGACGTTTCCACTGCTATGCGTTTGTCACTGGGGGGCCGCCGAACGGTGTGTAAGAAGCAGTATAGTCACAGTGAACAATAACTGCCTTTACAATACATAGTTCTGTTCAGTTAGGTGTTCATATACTGTGAGCAGGACCCATCTTAAACGCTGTCACTCCAAAGCTCCTCAAAATTCCTTTTCTTGAGCCTTTGTTAGGTGTCAGATGCTGCATGAACCAAGATTAGAGAGTCGCACGTCTTAAGAGCTGTTCTGAACATTGCACCTTGCTTTTGTGGGTTGCTAAGTTAATCGGGGAGCGTTTGCTCAGGGTTGAGCCATGGAACTTTCCCTGGTTTCTTGTACAGCTGTACAAACTGACTGCATGGAGCAAAAGCGAATTAGTGATGAGCACACAGCCGTGGTGAAGGTGGGCTCTGATATAACTGGATTCCCTCCTCTCACACCTGAAAAATAATGTCAATTAAGACTAAATATTCATCAGTTAGGGTGAATGTGGAAGCACACACAAATAGGCTGTGGCTCCAGCCGTCTAGGTGACGTAGAGAAACCTTTGTCACCTTCAGAACTAGAATGAGCAAACAATAGGATCGTTGCTCCTTGTTGCATTGTTTCTCTTCTAGTTACAGTTAGTCTGTTTCCTAAACCCTCAGTACTTGTCTGGTCTGCCGTGCAGTGTCACCTTGTGGGGGGGGGCATTAGAATTTCTGTTGTGCCCAGTTTTCCTTCGGGATGCTGTGGGTAGTTCAGTCGGTTGCTCCATTGCAACTTCGTCTCTGTCTCCGTGCACAGGAGCAAGATGTCATTCTCCGGCAGCACAATGAGCGACTCCATCACCCTGCTCAACGCGTTTAAGGTACGAGTTTGCCGGGGAAATGTCGGGCTCATGACTCATTTGGGGGACTGAAAACCTGCCTTGTAAAGCCAGCCTGCTCTTTCTGTTTGCATAAATACCTGTGGCCTACAGGCCCCCAGCAGCTTCCCAGAAATCCCTGCTGTGCGGCTTCCTGCTGTTTTCACCCCGTCATCTTCTATGTGCAACACGTACCTCGCAATACAGTACTCCAGGGGTTCCCTGGTCCTGCTCTTTCTCACATCACTGCCTTTCCACTCTTAACTGTGCATTGAAGCCTTGATTGAACTACCCTGATTGAATCGCCTGACTGGAACACCTACAAGATGTCTTTGTACTCAGAGGTTTGATTTTACTGGACTTGTGAAATGGCAGTACTTAAAAGGCACTTCCAGCTTGTTCAAAAGTTGAAAAACGGTCATGTTCAAATTAATCCTAGTTAGATTATTAAGGCTTTAATAATGTGACTGAGCTGGGCTGGAACAAAAACCAGGAGTGGTCCTCCAGGATTGGGGTCTCCTGCACTGCTTCGTTCAGAGATGCTGTTTGTCGGAGCAGGAGCTCCTGCCCCTGGCCCTTGGGAAAACCTCATGGATTCTGGATTCCATCTCCAGAAGTTGGAAACAGCTCTTTAACCTGAAGGAGAGGAGTGAAATTGTTGTGTTTAAGGTTTAGCTGGACTGTGTGCCCCTTCTCTACCGACTTGTAGCAGTTGATGTTTTAAGAAGGAAACCTGCTGGATTTTGGCCCTTTAGGATTGGGATGCACCTGAGAGAATGAAGACGCATTGCTTAGTTCCTTTCTTTGATTCCCAGCTATTAATGGGCCATTCTACCAGCACTGAAATACTTTTAAAAAAACACTTTTTAAATAGAATGTGAGAGAGGAGAGCACACACTGTACGTAGTTGCCAGTCTCCTCAAATCTGTCCGTTTGGTACCTGTGTTCTGACTTGTCAGTTGTCCGCTGAGATTATACCCTTTTCATTCTTTGTCCGTCTCCACTTGACAGGTGGATGAAGCATCAAATATTCTGCATCTTCGAAAAAAGGCATTTAGTACAGGAGAGAGTAAAAGATTTGCGACATGTCTAGAATGTTCACCGATTTAAAGTCAAAAGCTTCCCTAAGGGAAAGAGATGGCTCCGTGTTTATAGTAACCCGCACGAGAGAGATGCTTTGCTTCCATTTCTTTTTAATGAATGGCCTTTTTAATATGTTAGTTTGATCATTTTCACAAATCACTTCTTCTGGGAAGTAGTGTCAGATGGGATCTGAAAGAGCTGCCAGCTGGCGAGTACAAATACAGCGATCTCTGCTATCACACGAAGTGGCTCATAGGCGGTTGGAAAACAGGGGAAAGATCTCTGTATAGCGCGAAACTCACGTTGGCTTATACGCGATTTGATCCCTGACATGTTTACGTTTTGCGTTGCGGAGTAACACAACTGAAGGTAGCGGTCCGTGGAGCAGTACACATGGTGCTCAGTTGTCCCACGTGCTGTTTTGGAAGTGCTAATTGGGAGGTGCTCCTCAATGTGCGGCCTATTTTCACTAAATCTTCTGCATTCCCGTAAATATGAGTGGACAAGGTGACCAGAAGTGTGCTGGTGATAACATTTAAATACGTTAAATTCATAATAAAGCTTTACCCAGTTTAATCATTATTTGGTTAGGTTTTCTGCCCCTAACCATATTTTTCCCCATGAGCTGTTATTTTTATTGTGTGGTTTTGCATAACATGAGGTTTTACAGGAACGCATCTATTGCATAATTGCACAGGCGCCTGTATCTGCAGGTCTAGTTTTGATTTTAAGGGTCTCGTATCCAGCCAGCGTTTTCAAAAAGTATACAACAGACACAAATAGTCTAATTATTATATAGATTATTTAATGAAATTATCCCACTCTAAATTCTCAGTTCATGGGCTTCCTGGTCCAGTCAGCAGTGCGTCGATCCGATTTTCTCCCCAGGATCGTTGTCAGGGAGATGAACTGTCTGTGATGTGTCTTTAAAGCAACTGAACCAGACAGGCAAAGCAGGGAGCGTGCACAGTCAGGATGGGTTATTGATGCTCAGATGTCACATGAGTGCTGCAGTGCAAACATAATCTAATACTCTGCAACATCTGTATGATTTGCTTTTAAATGTCATCTTTGTTCCAGGCTTGGAAAGAATCCAGAAACAAAGGAAAATTCAAGAATGGAAGGGTCAGTTTTTTTTTTTTTACTGTAGAAATGTGATGATGATTAACCTTGTTATATAGCTCCTCTTAAAAGTAGCTTCTCCAGCCACTTTACAGTAAGAATAAAAACAACGAGAGGAGATAACCGGATTTTCACAGTTTTGAATGCAATAGGATGGTTTAGAATGCAATAGAAGATCCAAAAGGGCAGACGTGGACCTCAATGGAGTAAAAGCCCTTCTGAAGAAGGTGGTTTAGAGTCAGGGTTTGAAAGAGCTTGGGGAAGGTGAATGACATCTTTGGCGATAGAATTCCAGAGCTTTGGGGCGCAGCAGGGGAAGGCCCTGTCACTGAGAGTGTAGATGAGCTTGGGGGACAGACAGGAGACCAGAGTCAGACGAACAAAGGCTGTGAGGTGGGGTGTAGGAAGAGAAATCGGATGGGTACTGAGGTGCCAAGCCATGTAGAGCCTATACATGAAGTATAGTGGTCCTCCGTGTGAGAGCCTAAGCACAGGAACGTTTCTGGTTGCTGTCGGAGTGTAAGTCTGGGTTACTGCTCTTGCAGGACGAGCTGGAGTGGGGCAAGGAGAACTGCGTGCAGATCAAGAGGATTCGGGAGGTACTGGAGGAGAGTCGCGAGGCTCGTAGCGACCAAAAGATCTTTATCTCCAGCCCTAAAGCATGTCTTCAGAGATCTGTGTCCTGGCATTTCTGTTGTGCATCAAAAGTGTAGTCTTGAAATACTTTTTCCAATTGCAGCTTCTTAGTCGTGTTCCATTATTATCTGTCGGTATCTGCCGAGGTTGAAATGGGAAAGAGAAGCTCAGAAGTGTTAGGCGTGTGGGCAGGAGAAGGGTCTGCTTGTGCCAGTAAGCTGATCGGGGTGTTAACGAGGTGGCCCTGACGAGCTCGGGTGCCGTTGTCCAGGTGGCCGAGCTGTACGAGGATCTGAAGAAACGCGTTTCCCAGTTCAACATGCACGTCGGCAGCGCGCCCCCGCCCTCCGACCCCGAGAACGCCTTCGTGCACACCTTCATCTTGCAGGTCGGTCCCCGGATCGGGCGGCTCTTTCACATTAAAACCGTCGGACCCCTCCTCGTGCAGTCGCTGGCATTTTCTCCTTTCAGATTGTGATTGCTGGAGCTTTCTACCCCAACTATTTCACCGTGGTGGCGATCGATGAAGAACTGGCCTCCAAAGAACTGTCTGGAAATGATCCCAGAACCACCGTGCTGGTAAGGAGGACTGCTGTCCTTGACACCCTGGATGTGACTCACATGTAACGCACAGCGCCTCCGATTACATTCCTTAACCAAGGCTTTCACATTGCTCTGATTGGTGGTGGGCGGTTTCTGATGAAGCCTGAAAAAAATCCGACTGCGTGTGCGTATTGGAAGTTGACTCCTTATTTCCCGTGTTCTGCAGCTGAGGAATATGCCCCCCTATGGGTTCCTGTACTCCAAGCAGCTGCAGTCCCTGTTCCGCCAGTGTGGCCAGGTGAAGGCCATGTCGTTTGAGGGCTCCAGGTGAGGGGGGGTGCCGTGTGTGAGGCCGTTCTGCCCCCCCAGTGGGCGATTGTGGGTCTAGTCTCTTTTCCATCCACCTGCGCTCTCGCCGAGCCTGTCTCAAGGTGGCCTCCCTGGGGCCTTATTTTGCTGAAAGGGCACTTTAACAACACTCCTAGTTGTCATCTAGCGCGGCTTCAGCTTCGTAGAAGTAGGATCTGACAAAGGTTTCATTAACGGGACTTGAGTAATTACTGAGGGAAAGAAAGCACGTCGACCAAATTGATGTTCCTGTTCGATCATTGATTATCCTGTTCGATCATTGATTATCCTGTTCGATCATTGATTATCCTGTTCGATCATTGATTATCCTGTTCGATCATTGATTAATCAGCGGCGCTCCCGCGGTGACGCTCGCAGGCCAGTTGCATGTGTGACCACTGGTGGAAGCAATACAAGCCGCCCATCCGTGACGCATGCTTCTCGCCACGTTTCAGCTGCCGTTGTGTGGGATTTTGGCCCATTCCGTCACACAGCCTGGGCAGTCTGGACAATACCTGTTAACTGGTCTCGGAGGGCTAGATGGCCTGGCAAGAACAGGCGTGATCAGCTTGTCCTGCTGGTTTGCCACCTCGGGGTGGGCCCACAGGAAGGACAGCAGGTGACATCCCAGGATGGCGCCATGCAGGCGGGTTTCCATCGATCACTTGATGTGATTTAAGACCAGATTCTGAGCATTTTCTCCTGGTTAAATCGCCTCGCCACCTGTGCCCACTCGGCTCTCACTCGTGGGGTGGTCCAGGGGTTATTCAGCGGGCCGTGGCTCGAGACCATCACGGCCAGTCTTGAAGGACGAGCGGGTGGAAATGACGCGCGAGATGGCCGACCGCGCCCCGTCCCACGGCACCCCTCTGCCCGCTCGGGCCTTGTCCCCCTCCCGCAGTCAGGCTCTGGAAGACTCAGGGGCGGTGTTGTCGGTCCTGCCAGCAGGGCCTACGTGGAGTTCTCCCGGGGCGGCGCCAGGACCGCGCAGGTGCTGCCGGAGGTGACGCTGGCGCTGCGGATGGCGAACCTGCGCGTGCCCCTGGAGCTCTCCGTCCACCCCATCGAGGAGGTGGAGGCCCGGTTCGCCCACAGGGCCGTCTCGGCCCTGCGCTCCTGCAGGTACTGCCCGCCGGTTCAACTTCTGCTCTTCATTGTGTTGTGTGCTTTGAAGAACACGTTCAGTTTTGTCCAGGCGTATCTGCATCTCGGACAGGACTGTGCAGCAGGGCCCTGTTCTTCTGCTGCCCAAGACTGGCCCAGCGGGACTGGGGGGGGTTTCCTCCCCCTCTCTTCCAGCTGGACCTGCTGCCCAGAGTATATTAGAATGGCACTGGAAAATATTCTGCCATCCTGTCCTTTGAACAAAAACAAAAAAATTAAGTGGTGCCCTATTTCGTTTAATTCTTTAATAAAGATCTACAGCTCAATGCTGTCTTTAGAGAACGATTTGTTTGGCTTAGCTAGCCTTGCATCAGAGGACGGTGAGGGAGGGATGCACACCATGTGACTGAGCTGAAATCTTGTAAATAAGCCCTGGTAGAAAATGACCTGACATTTACAATTTGAATGACTTTTTTTTTTGCTGGTGAATTTTTTCCCAAGTTCTCAGTGAATGTGCTCCTGTGTATGGTACTCTTTAGCAGCCTTGAGCTGCTTATCATTTTGTTTAAATAAAATCTCTCCAATGGTTTAAAAGGTACATTACTGCTTGTACTGTGGACACTTAAGCGCTTTGAGACCTAGGGTGTGGCTGTAGAGAATCCTTGGAGCAGCAGTAGTGTGGGCATACTGTGGGTTTCAGAGGCTCTTAATTGAGTCCTAAAATAGAACCAATGTTAAGGTGACTGACGCTCAATACGTTTATTCATTCACGTATACTGCATGCTCAGCGTCTGCTGTTTGTCCCAGGGTGAATGTGGATTTGAAGAAAAACACTGCGTTTCCTGTGGACATGCTGAGCAATCCCGTTGACCTGGATCAGTTACCTCCCCATCCAGACTTCATTGTCAGCATCACAGAGGTACCAAGCCTGCTTTCTGCACCCTTGGGGACACGTGTGTGAAGACCTGGTATATACTATACGTCTGCCAGGGCACCATGTCACTAGATGAAACAAAGTAGGAACTTGTGTTCCCGTACTGTGGCAGTGCTGAGCTAATGTACAGCACCGTCCTCCCCTGTGCCATGATCTTGGCCTGTGCAGAAGTAAAACCAGAAATGTCCCCTTTCAGCTTTTTACCAAGCTTCCTTTGACCTTTTCCAGCCCCAGATAAACTCCATTTATTTTCTGAAAGCTTGAGAAGGTAACTAAGTTGCCTCACTTCTCCATAGCAGTGATATTCTCGTTCTAGATTTGCATTGTGCTTTCAGGAATAAGCCTGCTCCTGGTCTAAGAGCTTTGTGTGTTTTTGTCCTTGTGTTTTGATCACAGGTGGTAGATGTCGGGCATTTCTGGGGATTCAGAGCAGACGAGAGCAGCTTGGAGAAGCAGCACAGGCTGACGCGAGCAATCAATTGCCAGGAGCTGCAGCCTCTGTCCACCTCCCTCTATCCCAGCATGCTCTGCCTGGCCCCCTTCGCGGAAGACCAGTCCAAGGAAGGCCAGTACTACAGGGCCAAGGTCCTGCAAGCGGCTGGCAGCAGTGTGGAGGTGCGGTCCTGCTCTTACAACACTGAACCTAACCGAACCACCCAACTGCTACACTGCGCCGTTTCTGAAACGAGCATTTACTGCGCGACGTTAGCTTTGCTGTGCAACACGTCTGTGACCCTAGAACAGGGCAAGTCAGGCGCTGGCGGTTCCTGAGGGTCTAAGGCATTTCAGCTCCCAAGTGCTGTTGTGGATTCCTGTTTTTCTGTGGCAGGTGTTCTTCGTCGATTACGGCAACACCACGAAAGTGAACGCCGATCGTCTGAGGGAACTCCCTGAGGACTTGCAGGCGCTCCCATTTCAGGTACCGCGCTCCGCCTAGAGAAGCAGAAGACCGTTGCAGGGCGGACGGGCGACGAGAGTTGGCCTTTCAGCTCCTTGAAGACCTCTTTGTTGCTGTGAACGCGATCTGCCAGTCGTCTTCTCTGGCAGTCAGTTAAAAGCTCCTAGCACGTTCGCCCCCGTAATGTAGCTTCTTTCGTGATTGACGGCTTTAAGAATGTGCCCCCTATCTCAGATCCAGAATGCTCCCGCTCTTGATTTGCGTCGGGAGTGCTTGGACGTAGCCTGGAATCCCTTTTGCTCGAGACCGAGGGGCGTGTTCCTCCGTGGTGTAACCTGCGCCCCCCCTCCCCCCCCACAGGCCCAGGAGTTTCAGGTCTGCAGGCTGCGGCCCTCGGCCCGGTCCGTGGTCCTGGGGGGGCGGTGGAGCAGCGGGGCACGGAGGCGCTTCAGTGCGCTGGCCGGCCAGCAGACCCTCATGGCCTCGCTCTTCTCCGTCCTGCACGGCGTGATGCGCGTCGAGCTCTTCGCGAACTCCCACGCGGGCAGCGCCGGCGTGGCCGAGGTCCTGCTGGAGGAGGGCCACGCCGAGAGGGCGGAGGAGAGCCTGGAGTCCCAGGTACTGTGCGCTTGGTCCCCTCGGACTTCCTGCCGGAGACCCGGCTGTGACCGGTGCTGTGGCTCTGGTCTTGCTAGCGGTATTGTAGAGAATTGGAACCTTCTGCGACCAGCAGTATTAGTTGCTTTTTTTTCCTGAGTTTTGAAATATGTTAAGTTTTATATTCATTTTGAAAGATGTATTCAGGAATTGGAACCAGGCAGTGCCTAGTTGAAAGTTGCTGCCCGTGCCTGGGTGTCTCTGTTCCTCACGGTGTTCTCACCTTCCCCCCCCCTGTAGCACAGCCACGAGATCCTGATGTCTCTGTACAAGGACCTGGAAGAAGGGACGTTCCTTCCCAATTCCACTGGCAGTGCCTGGAAGAGCAGGAAAGAGGAAGAGAAGCAGCTGATCGACAGCCTGCTGGAGACGTTCTCAAAGGCTCCGTCTTCTTGTGTTAAGTACAAGGTACCGAGACGCATGATCGGGGGGGCTTTGCTCTCTGTTGCATTGTTTTTTGTGTTTTGCATTGTTTTGACCAGTTATACCATTTTTTTTACCAGACTTCATTTGTGTACATGTTGCGCGAGTTAAAAAAAGTTCCCAGATCCGTCTAGCTATCGCAGAACTGTTTTTAGGCCAGTGAAAATGGTGCGCCTCTCGGGGATATTATGAGAGTGTTTTAGTTGGCCACCACAGACCTCTTGGTAGTAAGTGTGAATAGCTGGCAGTACTGGCTGCCTCCAGCCTGGAGCCCTGAGTTGCCGTCTCTTGTTGCAGGTGCCAGTGCATGGACCCTCCAGCCCACACAAGCTCACCTTCCACCCCATGAGCAGCATCACCCACTACAAGTAAGGCTGGGGGTCTCCTGGTCCTGCTCGGAGCTCACGAGCGCTGCCAGCGTCTGGCTGCCCCTTTAGTGTATTTTAAATAGTCTATTTTCTAGTGAGTTAAGTGGCTGGACACCTCTTGAATTTTCATAGGCCTCTAAAATTCAGTCATCTGGATAGAAACTGGTGAGGTTAAGGGGAGTTGCAGAGGCTTATGGGAAATTATTAGACTGTAAATTATGCAGAGGGGTCTCATGGTGCCTCATGGTCTGATGTCGTTTTAAGATTTAGCCTTAAGGAGCAGTGATAGGTATGTGACTTGACCTTTATTTTGAGTTTCTTGACTGATGGAAATGAAATTTAGAGGATGTAGCCTGTGACGCACTGTTTTACAATGTTATTCCTGCAATATTCTGCCACTAGCCAGTCAAATGTCACATGTCACTTGACAGGTGTGCATGGAAATAAGATCTTGTGAACAGCAGTTAAAACCCTTGGCCCGTTTTAACTGTTGGTTAATTGTTTAATCGTAGTCACTCAATCGCACTAAATTTAAATAGTCTGTCCTGACTAGCCAGCATGGGCATGTTCTTTATGGTAGATGTTTATCTTTAAAGCTGAATATCTACAAATAAAGAATATCTTTATTATTTGGATTCCGTTAGCTGTTCCATCAATAAACGACCTTTGACTTGTCCTAATAAATCCGTCGTGCCGCAATAGAGAACAGAGAAATTACTATGGCTGTTCTGGCTCTGTTAAACAGTGCCCTGGCTGTTACTTCTGAGCTGTTACTCTCCTAAGCAGGAAGTGATGCGTGTCGCTGTGTTTTGAGCGGGCAGCCGGACAGCGCGTCTTTCCCCCGCAGGTCCGTGCTGATCGAGAAGGACAGCGTGAACTCGGCTGCCGTGAACGACGCTCCCCAGATCAAACACCAGAGGCTGCTGGTCGCAGCTTTCGTGACCATCAACGCCTCCGGTAAGCTGGGTGGGCTGAAACACTCGTCCTCACGAACATGCCTCCGCTGGGAGATCGCGGGGCTGTCATTGGGGGTCTTGCATGAGCTCTTTGGAAGAGGTTCATTATAAAACGGGCAAGTTCAGTATTCATTTTACCCTACCAACATTGTAATAATTTATGAAGTGCTTATTTAAAGCCCAAATCTAAATCTGTGCTCTTGTCCCGGTACATCATTTGCATTATTCCTAGAAGTGTTGATACTGGGTAGATGTTGAGTAGAGGGTTTTATTGCCTATGTTCCTGTACAGTGGAATTCTTATTCGTGCTGATCTTTTGGGACGCACACAGTACAGCAGACAACACCACACAATGTAGACAGTGCATTTCAAAATGGTACATAATCATGATAGTATGTACAGTTAAGAAACAACCAGAACGATAAATACACGGTAGAGAACATGATGCAGCTATTAACGTTTGTTTGGTCACTGTTGTCTCTGCTTCACCGGTCCTTGTAAATAGAAGCAGGTTGTCCTGCAGTGTACTGTATGTGCTCTTATTCAGACTTTACTACTAGTCTGGTTACAGCACGTTTCCGTTTAGGTTAATGTAAATAGATAAAGGCATATTCCGATATACTGGAATATGGGTATAAAGGGGAATTTTTCCCTGTAAGAGCACTGCAAATATGGAGGATTCAGGATTGTGGGAGTGTGAACCTTGCCCACGCATTAAAGCAGGAGGATTTTCCCATCAGAATTAATGGAATAAAGTCTGGCTGGGGACCACATATTAGACTAAGTCTGTGTTTCACTTGTAGCTCCCAAGTACAGTACAGAGGGTTCCATCAGAAGTCCAGGTTACGGTTCCTAAATACAGCTTACAGAGGAATGACTTAGGGGTATCTGTAAGGAAGAATGTAATTTGGACAGACATCTTTTGAGTTATCTCGTTAAAACCAACCAAGTCATTCACTGCTCTAGGGTCGTTGTTTTATTTCCCCACACATATCAAGTTAGCGATCAAACCTCAGATCGGTGACGTGTTGTGTGCTGGCGAGAACTCGGCCTAAATGTTGGGACACGATCTGTAATCTACATGGTGTGCTTCATCGTTGCCAACTAGAATTTTACTGCTAGGTTTTGCTCTTCAATATTTTTTCATACAAAATAAATAATCCACTTAATCCAAGCCTGCGTGGCTCGCCGTCGTTTTTCATGGCGCCGAGGTAACAGCAGGGAATTTTCATGTCGGGTTCCTCAATTTATCAGAAACATGAGCGCAAAACTACGAGTAGCAGGGTGACCGATAACGGGGGGCCGCCCTGATCTGGCCTGTGGTCAGCGTGACGGATGAGCCCCTCTGTCCTCAGGCTCCTGTGTCCTGCTGAAGGAGACCACCCTGCTGCCCAGCGTCCGCGGCCTGCCCGCCCTGCTCTGCATGCTGTTCACGCCCGCGATGGAGCTGCGGTGGGTGTCTCCGCTCGGGGGTGTGGGGCTGTGCGCCCCGAGTCGAGGGCCCGTCTCGTTTCTGCGGCCGCTGTGATGTCCCGGCCTGATCTAGAGCCCAGCGTGTGAGCGCTGCAGCCTGTCCCCCACAGGCGCTGAAAAGCTAACCTGGGGGACGGGCGCTCTTCCAACTGGCCATCAAATAGAAGATTTCTCCCTTTAGGCCTGAGATCTAGTATCTTAATAATAATAATCCTTAAACTTTTTTATATAGTGCTTTACAGGTAATGGGGACTCCCCTCCAACACCAGCAGTGTGCAGCCCCACCTGGATGATGTGCCAGTCTGCTGCCCACACACCAGTCCTCAGGGGAGGAGAGCAGAGTGATGAAGCCAGTTCAGAGATGGGGGGGGTTATTAGGAGGCCCTGATTGGTAAAGGCCGGGGGGAAATTTGGCCAAGACACTTGGCTAAACAATCGTATGCTTTGAGAGATGCCCTGGGGTTTTTAAGGACCACCCAGAGTCGGGACCTCAGGTTTTATGTCTCATCCGAAGGACAGTGCCCTTTTTTACAGTATAGTGTCCCCATTGTTATACTGGGGCATTAAGACCCACACAGGCTCCTGGGTGAGTGCTCCCTACTGGCCCCGCTAACGCCTCTTCCAGGTTGTTGATCTAGTCAGCCCTAAACAGAGTACCCCTAATACAGTACACATGCGCCTTGGTGCACCCTGGGAAAGGCGAGGGATTGCCGGGATAGAGGTCTGAAGCTTGTACGCAGTGCCATCCCCATGAAAATGAATCATCTTGGAAGCATCCCAGGGAGATTAGCTATGCTCTGGAGGAGACGGCTATGTGTGTGGTGTGTTCACTCTGGGTGGTACCAGGATGGAAGTCTTTCTGCCGTCCTGATGGTGGCATCGTGCTCGGTTCAGACTCCCTCTCCAAGCGTGTGGCGCGGCCTTGGCGAGACTGGTTAAACGTGCTGTGACATGGGGCGGGTCGGGAGTGTCGGGGCCCAGAGGGACTCGTGGACCCTGACCGGTGCGTGTTCCTGCCTCCCGCAGGACCAACGACGAGAGGACCTGCTTTACCGGCGCCCTCTGCGGGCTGGGCTGGAATAGAGCGACGCAGGCCGCCGTCCTGCCCGAGCACGACATCGAGCTGGCCTTCGACGTGAAGTTCGACGTGGAGGACGTCACCGAGGTAGCGCAGCCGTTTGCTCTCCTGTTCCTCAGTCGGGGTTATGCCCGAGCCTCTCCGGGGAGAGCGGTCTCCGAAGTGCCTTTTAAAGGAATTTTAAAGGAAAACCTTTCTTAGTTATTCGTTGGGATTATTGCCGCCACTTGTCCAGAGAACCTGAGAACCTCAGTCATGTCTGAACGGTCCCAGAATGCTTTGCAGCGAGGGCGACACTTACCCCTTTGACAGAAGTAATGTTGACTGAGAAGTGTCCAAAGGGAAAGAGCAGGTAGGTCTCAGAGTCACACGGATGACAAGTCTGTGGGAGAGAATTGTTTACTACCCATTGGAGGAGGAGGAGGATTTTCGATGACTGTGTGTCTTGTACAAGATTCCAGGAAACGCGCAGCAGGCGCGTGATCTGCGCTGTTTCCACAGATCAACGCCCTGCGCAGTGCCGTCAACAAGCTGGTGTGCGAGGGGCCGAACGGGACACTGCACCTGGGCGAGGAGCGGGTGGCCCAGCTCCGGGAGAACGCCCGCCAGCAGCTGGTCAGGTGGGACGGGGTGTGGGGAGCAGGGGATCCCCGTGTCCCGAAGTGTAAGGAATCCGTTCGCAGAGCAAGGCCCCCTGGGAGCCCAGCGGAGCGACGGGGATGTGCCGCGCCTCCTGACGGCATGAGGGTTTGAAGGATTGTGGGACCCGCCCCCCCACAGCGGTGCAGCGCTTGATTGGCACGCAGGCGAGCTCGAGTGTAGTTTGGTTCCGGATTCGAATTCCATTTAACCTTTTCCAGAACCATTTCTACAATGCCTACACCCACAGCAGAGTTCGTTAGGTCAGGGTCACCGCGGTGTGAGCTGTAAGTAAGCTCGTGGAGGTAGTAGTGTTGCGCGTTTTTCATCTGAAATCTGGAATATTTTCGGCCTTAAACAGTACTGTAGGTCTGAACCTTCGTCAGCGATTTTCCTATCGGAGAAAAGTCTTTTTGTTTGAAAGTACTGGCATTATCAACTTTTTTTTTTATAGCTTATGTCTTCACTTATTTGGAATGAGTTTTGATTTAGTTTTGAAAGTGAAAACTTCCTCGCTGACATCAGAAAAAAACTTTGTCCTGTGGTAGATTCTTGTAAGTTAAATACGATTGTAGCCTATACACATTTCCATCCTAAATAATTAGAGCAGTCAACCAGAATTGGATTCTTTTTTTTTGGGCTATACAGAGAATTATTTCAGGAAAAGGGGGATTTATTTAGTGTGACATCGTCCCTGGGGGAGAAATCTAAAGACTTCAGTACAAAATGAGAAAAAAACACATTTTAAATTATTGTATCGTGTTCACAGTCATATTTACTGAACTGCTTATTTTCCTTGTCGAGAATAAACCATTCAAAAATGTAAGAAGAAACAGGCGGCTAAGCAAGAATGTTTAACCAGTCGGGTGCCCAGCAGCTCTGGTGGAGAGAGAGTACAGTGCCCCGGACCCTCCTGGTGCTGTTCACCACACACGCATCAAGAACACCGCTCTGGTGCGTTAGAGTTCGACTTGGCGTCTTGTCTGATCGTGTGTTCTAGGCTGTTCGCCAAGTCCCCCAGCAGAGAGGACCTCGCACCACAGTACTATGAGAAACCCTACAAGTGGAACCAGGTGAGAGCTCGTACACCTCTGCTGCACTCAAACCTCGGAGCGCTCCCTCCCCGTCCCTGGGGCGAAACCCACTGGATCTCTTTTTCCAGTGTTCTCAACCGTATGGTTGCGACAGCTTCAGGTAGTAGCCATCTAAACATGCCATAGAGGTGGTAGTGAGGAATACGAGTTGCACCTCTCCTTCTCCAGTGTTGAATAGCAGTAGCGTACGGTTCTTTTGCTTTGCCATACTTACAGGGTCTTGGCAATAACAGTGCCATGTATGGAGATCTGTGAGCTTTGGGATTGGAGTGTGTGTGCGTGTGCGCAGAGTTGAGGTTCAGGGGCCAGGTGAGCTGGTGGTTTGGGCAATGTTGTAGGAGGAACTGCATGGGGGGGAGGGTATAGTATTTACAGAAGGAGATTATTAAATTTAAGGAAGGTTTCAAGGTTTTTTTTTTAAAAGATCTTGATTCTGCTGGATGACTTGCATCATGGTTGGTGCAGATGAGCGTATCAAGGCTTTCATCGGTGGGCTCAGCACAATGGCTGGGAGCGAGGGTCCTGCAAGTACAGGATTATTTCTGAATCCCGGCGTCTTTGCACTCAGGAGCCCTGTGGATCTGTTCTGGGATCTAAATGAGCTGTGGATGGGTGTTCCCAGTTTACAAAAAATTGAAGGCATTTTTGAGACTGGATGATGCAGAATCCCAGGCTCGTAACTGGTCCCGATGGTCAGGATTGGGGGGAACAGGGGGTTTGGGTGACTTCTGGGGTTCAGGGCACCGCTCTCTGCAGCTGCAGCAGGGGGCTCCCCCCAGGGCTGTGCACTAAAAAGAGTGGGTCCCTGGCAGGTGGACCCCAGTCAGAAGATGGAGCTGTTGCAGAAGGACAGGGAGGGAAAGACCAGAGGCATCGTGTACCAGCTGCACCCCATCAGACTGCTCAATGTGTGAGGACTGCAGGATCGCGATCACCTATTTTATATCGATTTCAAGGTTGAGTTTGGTTTTTTTTTTAGCTTGTTAAAGCCTAAAGGATGTGACAGTTTCAGCTTGATGACCATTTGTTTTTGTATTTTATTGTACATTCCCATCCTGGGTGCAGGATGTCATTCCTACCAGCAGAGGGTAGTCTTGGTTTGAAAACTCGGAACAGTTGAATGTCTTCAGTTTTGGCTCTCTAGCAAAGTACATGTGATTGTGTTACTATTTCTTAAAGATCGTCGGATTACTAATAAATGTACTGGAGAAATTTGCAAGAAGTTCATCTCTTCTGACTTTAGAACTGAATAAGTTCATATTTCCGTCAATTCTAGGTTTGAAAGTTTTCAACTGATTTGAATTATAAATCTGATGATTAGGCTTTTTAAAATCACTTTTTTTTTGGGTTGGATACAAACATCGTACTATAACTTTAAAAGACAGCAGTGTAGATTTTGCCCCCAACTTTATCTTAATTTACTTGAAAGCAGTATCTCGATCACTAGAACCCGGGACTCTGTGTAACTGCTTGTGCTCCTGCAGAGAGCCTGCAGCCCCCTCTTCCTGGAGCACAGTGTCCTGGCTTGGCCCTGATGGAGATCTGCTGTGGTCCTTCTCCCCTGTGTCCCAGAGCGAAGCCAGTTGAGCGATCCTGCTCTTACTCGGGGGTCTCAGGGTTAAGGCCTCCAGTATGTCCAGGAGTGCACTCTGGAAGACACTGCGGAAAGCTGGGATCTTACTAAAACTCCCCGGAGCACAGCGGGGCTCCGAATTATGCAGAGTTGGTGTTTCTTGTACTGCTAATTGGAAGCTGTGCGTTTCCAGTAGCTGTACTGAAAACATTTAAGATGAAAGCATTCTCTTGGTTTTCTCCACCCTCCCTTTCTGCAATGGAATTCTTTTGTCACCAAGTGCATGAGATTGTACTTTGAGAACGGGGTTATGAATGCAGCTTTGGCGTTTCCTGCTGTTACTGTAGACCACTAAGGACTACAGGCCAGGGAGACCGCTGCCAGAGGAATGTGAAACGCCTCTGTGCCCCAGATGGATGTGGAAGTCCTATCGAAACACTATGATGTGGATTTTAGAGGACGTTGTTCTGTCTGGAAGTGGGTGATTTTTGTTTTTTTGTTCACATTGGAAGCTTTTTTTTTTGCTCTGGATTTGGAACATATTTGATTGCTCACTGAATTAAAAAACGTCACTTTAAAAAAACAAAGCAACACACCTTTTCTGGTTAAAGCCTTAAACTTGGATTGCAGTCCTTCATGCAGATGAACCCATGAGAAACCATGTGGTTTTAGGGATCTGACTAAAGAGATGGAGATGATCAGCCCCCACTTCAGCCTGGGCTGGGGGATTGACCTTTCCACAGTAACGGACACAAGCCGTTTCTTCCTGGACTCCACAGCAACACCTCGAGCATCTCGCTTGCTGAAATGAGCTCATCCGATTTGTAAAGAGGCATGCAAGGCATTCCACAAACGACTGGCCCCTCCCGAAATCGGAGAGCTTTTACATTTTGGCTGAAGGGGTGGTCTCATCACTTTTGGCTTTTGGTGTTGTGGAAACCATGACTGTGTGAACCGTGGTTTCAAGAGCTGTATCATTTCACCAAAGGAAAGAGCCTCTCTCTCTGTGCTGTAATGCAAGACTCATCCCCTGCAGGACAGCTGCTCCCCATAGCAGGGAGAAGACTGGTCTCTTGTAGTCTGGACACAGACTCCTTGTCTGGTCTCACGTGGGGCTTGGGCATCGCATCTTAATCTCGTGGGGGGTGAGTGAAGTGAATGTTTTGGTTAGTGTTGTGCTTGATCAGCTGAACTGCAGTCAAGGTGGAGACCGTTTTGAAAGCAGGGTTTAATGGCATGTGAGGGACAGCCTGTTCGGTCAGCAAGGCTGCAGAATTACTCTTGGAATAATAAACACTTTTGTTAAACGGCAGAGATGAAGCACATCTTCCCCTGCAGTGATAGATGGTCACTTGCCTCAGTACTGCAGGCACCACTGAACTAAAGACAAATAAATAGTTTTTATTTTTTTTTTAATCTTACTCACAATAGTTTGGTTTCACCAGGCACTTCCCCCAATGATGCGAAAATAGAGGAACAGCATACATTTAGGAACATTTATTTTCGCATTCATTAATTAGTACATCATGAGTGCAAATAGTTGAGTCCATGACTAATAAAAGAACTACATTGAACATTTTACAAAGTTGGACAGGTTAAACAAGCCAGCAGTCTCAAGATTCCTTCTTCCCTTTAGTAGTTCAACAGCAGTACTTAAAAACATGAGTTGTGTAGTTCCTTATAGTAATACAAAACCAAATGCTACAGTTACCATACCTAATCAGTACATAGTTTAATTATTTTGTGCTGGAAAACACCAAAAAAAACATTAGTCCACAATTCTATTTTTTATATATATATAAAGAGAAGCCCCACCTGCAACCTAGTGACATAGAAGCAATTTAAACTATCGCAGCAGCGCACTAAAGCAGGAAAAGCCTTCGTCACAGGTTACATCTAAACTCATCAGCACTGCTAAAAAAGTAGCAGAAAAAAACACTTAAAAGATATCAAATATTACTCAAGACTCTTGACATGCACTTCATAAGCAACACAAAATAACACATCTAGTACTTTTTTTTTTTCTTTTTATTCCCTTACTAGACTTGAGTGCTTGACGTGAGTGATTGCAAGTTACTCTAAGGTTATAGAGGCGGGGGGGGGCTTCTCCGGTGCTGCGGTTTGTTCGGCTCGCCAAGGCGCTGGCACACGGTACCACTGGCCGGTAGCGTGTGGGCTCCTCATCCACTCCCCTTCCGGCTCGCTCTTCCTCCCGGGACTGATCGCCTGCCTGGGGCTCTACTCCGCCTTCCTCTTGGCTCCTGGGATTTTGGCTTGAATCCTGCGGGGAGCAGGGAGAGGAGAGGGATGGGCCTGGGTGAACCGCGGCCTGCTCGCGCCTGCGTCTCAAAGCTGCCGCCATGGGCCTTTCAGTGCTGATTTATCGTAGGGCCCGGCTGCACTGTAGTGCAATTTTATCGTAACGAAGCGAGTGCCTTCCGTTTTTGGGTTAAATGTAAATTCATGGAGTGAGCGAGAGAGTTGCCTCTCGTGAGAGAATGTTCCCGAACGCTTTTGCTTGAAGTGTTACGGTGGATGAAGAACTTACTTTGCAACCACTGAGTTAACGTGAGTCCTCACTAGTCCCAGATACTGGTCGATCTGTGCCTGCAGAAGAAAGGAGAATAAGGGATCGGAGTTTGTAGCCCAGATTAATTATTGCCTAACCGTGGCTGTGAAGTAAACCAAGGACTGCTCTTCCTGCCGACCAAGAAATGACGTCTCGCAGTGGAGCTGCGCTATCTAATCCTGGACCTAACCATCGTTAACAAGACTGCTGTGCCAAAATCCACAATAACCGATTCTGATCAATTCAGATTTCCCTTGGATTCGGTACAGGAACAATAAAACACTTGGCAGTTAGGGGAAGATGGTGAATCTGTCCCTTTGATCAGCTACTTAACAGAACAGGGCTGGGTGAGCACTGACAGGGCTGGGGGGGGGAGGGGACGTAGAGACAGGATGGGCAGGCTGGGACAGGAAGGTGAGCAGGCACCCGAGGAGTTCGGGACTTTCTCAACCCTGCTTTTACCGTTATAACATTTTAGAAAGTACAAAGACTTATCAGCAGCTACGTACCTGGTATTTCTCATAGACCACAGGCATAGTGAACATGGACACCACAACTGGGAAAAGAGGAGACTGATTAATGGCCAGGATTGTGACAGTCCGCTCCTGCACGCAAGTTCACAATCTGACTCCGTTACCAGTCCCTTCCTGAAGTGTGTGTGTGTGCAGCTCTATTGAACATAGGTGGCGTTTATGATGCACACAGACGATGGCTTTTGACAGCCCTATAAACAGTAATATAAAGAAGGGTAGGAAACTAACACCCGTTGACTTTTCCCACAGTATGAGATGGAAGGACGAGGAGGGCAATCATTGACTTTTCATTCCCAGAATGTCCTCCCCAGACTGCTTCCACATTAATTATTGACCAGACAGCAGTACTGTACAGCAGAAGGGAGGTATTCTGCTGTGTACTTATGATACTGGTCCTGCCAAACTGGAAACAAACGTTTCTCACAGAGTGAGTGCATGAAAAATCAATATAAATACTGAGATACAAGATCGGTGCTAGACTGGAGTTATTCTAGATTGCCTATTTTAAGAACCAACAACTTGAGAAAATGTCTGGTGAAAGAATCACTGAAGTAAATCGGGTTATGGTCATGTTTAAAGTTGGAAAATGCAAATAATGAAAATTTAAGGAACAAGGTCACCTGTGCTAAAAAACAGTTGCAAGCATAACCTTCAAGATAACTTCCGTTTGACATGAATGTAGTATATTAATGGATAACAGATGGCTTCAGTTCTGTGTGTAGACTGTGCAGTGTGGATATTGCAAGCCGGGACAAGGAGAAGGTTTGTGCTGCAGAGATCAGAAAATGAAGCTTACCCATGATGAGGAGCGTCAGGCCATTGAACAAAGCTCCTACATACGTCAGCAGCCACATGAGAACTGCAAACTGAAACACAGACGCAGACACTGAGGGAGGCGAGGTGTACAGAATGTGTATTAAGTATGTTATTTCAGCTGGTGACTAGGGTCATGCACGCTTTGGCCACCAAGCCTTCACAATGTCCGAGGGCCGGACTGACCTTTAGGGAGTCCACCAGGTCTTGCACCAGGAAGAGCCTGCGCAGCTCCTTCAGGGTGCTGTTGACGTAGGCTTGCGCGTTGTCCGCGTACTTCTGGATCTGCTCCTGGGACAGAGAGATCTCCACGTCCAGGTAGGCCCTGCACAGGCAGGGCGAAGGCAAACAGCAAGCTGAGAGGCTGTCCCAGGGCAGCAGCAACATTGCAGTTTAACCTCTTAACAGACCAGGAATGGAGGGGTGGCCCTAGAACTTTTAACGTCAATCACTGCCATCAAGAGCACTGCTCACTCAAGCTGTCAGAACTTAAACCCATGTGTAATGCTTCATGGAAGGGGGGAGGGGATGGGAAGTTATTGCTTGATAAGGACAGGAAAATGAGCACCTGCCGCAGGGCAGAGAATACCTCATTGTTCCCCAGGCATCCTAAATTTCCTGTTGCACTAAAGACTGAAACATTGACATCACTAGATGTGTTCCCACATGTGCACTCATCCCTGCGTACCCTGAGCATCTCTGCCCAATCCCCTTCTGTTTCCACTCACTTGAACGGGTGCCCCTCGTCAGTCTTCTGCACCGCCTGTAGCACGGACTTGTAGATTCTGAAGCTGATGGTGGCGGACAGGGCAGCGAGGGCGAGGTAGGCGATGACGCTGACCACGCTGAACTGGGTGAGGGAGAACAGCAGCAGCAGCACGCTGCCGAACACGATGCCCGTCTGCTTCAGGTCCCGCCAGTACAGCAGGTCGATGGCTGGGAGAGAAAACGACATGCCCATCTGGTCACTGCGACTTTCAAGCTACAGTATGTGGGTCAGACTCCCGCAAACCACATTCTGTCTGCTCTGTTGTGGTTGTGCCACTTGTGTCATCCCTGTGGCTCAACACAGACCTCCCTGTAGAGCCTGAAATATCTGACCCATCCTGCTTTTTGCACTGATGACACCCCCGCCCTCTGTTAACTGGATGCCTTTTCCTCTTCTTTGACAGTCTATTGGTTATTTTCCCCTCTTCAATCCACATACTCAGGTTTTGTTTTTCTGAATGCTACACTGCATTCTTGCACTTCGTCGTTATCTTGATATTCCCATCGGCAGTTCTCGGATATTATCCGGTGCCAGCAGGGCTCAGAACTGCACAACTGAAATCGCAGGCCTCGCAAGTCATGGTTACAGTCTAAATCTGATCGGTCTTGGCATCTGCTGGAACATTTCAGTAATGAAGACTGCTCCAGCACTGATGTCTTCCTCCACCTCCTTGCCTTTTGTCTCTTTGTCTCTATCGCTGACAGGAGGTGAAAGTCAGCACAGCCACGCAGAATTCATTTCAAAAAGGAACATGAGCAACTGAAAAACTGAGGCTGAATCTTCCAAGGAATAAACAGCGCCCAGTCCGTGCTTAAAAAAAAAGCATCTCCATTATTTATAAACTGGATAGATGAAAACAGTTCAGGAAAAACAATGTGGACTGGGCATTTGAATGCAGTTTTTAATTTGGTTGAGATTACATGCAGCTGCAGGATGATTTTACCTCTGTAATACTGCTATAATGAAACCACGCACTTCCTTACCTCTGCACAAACTGCACCTGCTACTGTCACACACATGGGCCTCAGGCTCCCTACGATACCTTGCAGCTTCTCTGCCCGAAGTGGATAAACAGTATATGGCAGATGGGAACATGTGGACAGCTCAGATTGCTAATGACCTGAAACAAGGCCATCATCTTTCTGTCTCCATGTAATAAAAAAAAAACAGCAGAAGTGCTCTTGGTGATTATTTTTAAGTACATTTCCAGGCCTTGATTTTAGCTAAGTGTGGAAGCCTTGGAGAGGTACAACCCAGAAAGACCACAACTTCCGAGCAGCAGAGATTTAAGAGCAGGGGGAAGCAGCCTATTCCCTGACTGGGGCTGCAGGGGTGGGCTGTTGAAAAGGCTGATTCCTGAGGGAGATTCCCTTGTGCCTTCAGACTGAACACAGGAATCTTCAGCTCAATAAGCCACTAACCAAGGAGCAAGACTGCCTGAGCAGCTGCCTCTTGTTCATGGCACTTCTAATCCTTGGACCGCTTAGCTAGTATCGACCAAGAGGGACAGACTGACTGAATGGCCTCATCTCTTTTAAAAGTGTTCTTATATTGTTTTTAAAATACCTTAGGGGACTGTGTTCCCTGAAGGGCACAATTACTCAGAACCTACAGTATGCACATGCATATATGAATTAAATTACTCCAGATTATTATAACGAGAACACAAAAATTAGGATAGTCTGGAAGACTGTGAAGTGAACATGTTTCATTTATCATGTCTCATCATTATTGATTTTTTTAACCATTTTTTTCTCCATTATTCTATATTCCTTATACGAAACATGCTGAAATTGTTTTGGGGCTTACAAAACACAAGGTTCATAAAGAAGGCTACAGCTCATCATTTATCACACCAGACAGAACAAAGAGTGCCTGGGAAGACCCATGCAGAGGAGCTGGATGAGCTGAGATCGGCCGTGCCTCTACACTACCCTGTGATCCTCCATGAGGGTTACTGATTTGCATTTTCACAGTTCTTTCACAGTCAAATAATAGCATGTATTGTCAAAAAGTAACACCATAGAAGGCATTCAGCACTAGATTTGAAATGATTATGGCCAGCAACATCAATGACTGTCACTGGTGGTAGGTACTTGAATTTAATTATATGTAATCAAGACTTGAAAGAGAATAACCTTTAGCAAATGGGATCATTAATATTTACCATTTTTTCTTGCATTTTCAGCTAAAGAGCTCTTGTCAATTCCTCTTTGTCCAACGAAATGAAATACAGCTGCATTAATGCCTGAATGCATCTTTTCTGTACCCTATTTAATGCTTAAGTAAAGGTATTTGAATTATATATTATATAACTGAATTAATTAATAATATTAATAATTAATAGGGGATTATTTCTTCCTCCTCAAGAACTAGGGTTGCCCACAACTGGTCTAACTTCAACAATGACATGTGTCAAAGTCAAATAGCACACAAACCAAAGTCATAGTTATTTACAGAGCAAACGTTTACAGATACAGTCTAAAACCTAATCTCAGTGTTTGGTTGAAGACTCTGTTTCGTCGGGACACCCCCAGCCGTTGTTCTGACTGAGTCCTCAAACCCAGCTGAGCCCAGAAAGCCACTGGTCCTGTTGACTTGGAGAACTCTGTTCTTGTTGTTCTCCACAGTCCTCACGATCAGGCAGACAGCTCAAGGTCAAGCACTGACCTGCTTTTCACTCTGCCTAACAGCTGTTCCTATTGGTCGATGCCCTTTTTCTTAAGCTTTTACGTTCATACTGCCCATCACCTGTATAGACCAAATCCTCCCCCTTCTAATGTTCAATCATACAAGAGGTTATAAATGGCAAGAGGTCACTTGGTCCAGCAGCGTGATCAGGGGATCTTGTCTAGCTGGCTTCAAAATGATAGCTGGTTCATATCCTAGCCCAGTTGAGAACCTGAGATCAATTAGCCACTAACTATCAAACAAGCCAGGGCAGAATAGCCTCCTCTCATTTGTAACGTTGGGTTGTGTATTTGTTACAAATCAGAAGCTCTGAGAAAAGATCTTAAGTCTTTTCTGCGTGTGAGAGACAATAATCCATTAACAATGCTAAAAACTAAATAGAGCTAATTGGGTATCCATTTTAAAAAATGTTTAGATATTAAAAAGTGATCTACTTTAATGAGGCTAAAACAATCATCAAAATTTAGTTCTCGTTTGGCTTCTCTTGGAGATCAGATACTTGTGATTTAGCTGTACAGGCTCTACTCCGTCCTCCCAGTCCGTCGCTAACCATGTCTGGACAGTTACAGTCGGACTAAAGCGTCATCCAACTAGAGGAATGACCGGCAGATAAAACATTTAGGAGCTGAAACACTCTCAGGAAGGAAAGGCGGAACTGTACGGGTCAGTCTGTCACAAAACCCCTGAAGAGCAAGACTAATGCTGAGGTACTGTACGTACCGCATAACGATCGAGGAAGAGGAGGGGAAGGGTGTTCGATTCTCAGCCCCCTGCCTTTGAAGACTGGAGGTGCTAAGGCACGTGTCGGTGTCCGCGATGGAAGACTCATTGTAACGAGTCTTGCTTTTATCTGGTACAACAGTGAGAGCTAAGCTGGGAGAAAGGGGGGCTCCCCCTGGGCTCGGGGCTTGTTTGCCATCTGCGCCCCGTGTCCCCGAATGTGTTGAACCTCCTTCACTGCTGCCAGTCTCTGCTCATCTACTCAGGAGCAATTTCTAGCTGCATATGTCTTAAAGGATTTCTCCTCTTGCTCCTTTTAAGTGCACATCTGTCAGGAGTGCGGAGAAGGTCCCCAGTGTGGCTTACAATGTGTCTCTCTAGCTGCTCTAATTTTAGCCTCGTGCAGTTTGCAGTCAGAGATAACCCCCCCCCTCCACCCCTCCACCCACCCCACCGCCTCCCGCCCCTCGCCTCTCAAGCTCGCTCCCGTGTACCGAGCAACAGGAGAACAGGGCGCGGCTCTCGTCCAGACGAACGCTCAGTCGGCTAAATCAACCGCCTGCCCCCCCATCTGTCAACCTCTGTGTCAAACACACGTCAGCCCCTTCTACAGCACCGGCAGGTAAAAACCAACACTGTGAAGAAGGAAGAACGACAGACCGCTGAACAGAGCCCAAAAAACCGCTGGCTTGCAATGCAAACAATAAATCCCCAAATGGAACACAATAGCTGGTGAGAGAAGAAATCTCTGCCTATGCTTCCCTTATCAATGAGAGCAGGTGTAGAGCAATATTAACCACCACAAATGGCATATCTGCCTTAACAAGACATGCACATATGGGGTGACATAATAGCGTCTGTCTACATCTCCCCATCTCGCCTTTGCAGTTGCAAAGAAAAGCACGAGGTGCACAGCGCGTTCACTGACCTGCGGATCCCATGGCTGGAGCGAGGCAGCTGCCTTATTCCTAAACAAAGGAGCAGCTCTGCCCGCGGTGTTCCCTGCCTCCTGACGGCAGGGGAGGGAGGGGCCTTCCTGACACAGGCATTGCGAGACTGTGGACAAGCGCCAGGAAGTTCACCATCGGTGTCGGCTCCCGGCGAAGAGGAGTACGCGCGTACAATTAAACATGCTGACACCAGGCCTGCTGCTCTTTTTTACTGTGGTAATATTGCACCACAGCAGCAGCTGTACTACATGAAATGCTGTGCTTTGCAATCCATTTTTATACTGTACTATGTCACAGTGCCTGGGGCTCTACAGCACACAGGAAAGCCCAACCTTTTCTGATTAACCACACTACTATATCTTATAACAGGGAGAGTTCCTGAGGGTCATGGTGCACCCTGGATCAGACAACCCCTTCCTTTCAGTACACACTTTTCATGATTATCTATAATACAATCTCTGAAGAATTCTGACAGCAAAATGTTTTGTCTATATTCATTTTTTACAGTGGGTATTTCTCACTGAAGGTATTAAAAACCTACTTTCTGTCCGGCAGCTCAGAGCTGCAGAAGGGATATTGCAGCTTATTACAACACTGCCCGAACAAACAACAACTATCTAAAACGGTTATCGTAAATACAGCAGCTGTTGCACAAATCACGTCATCAGAACAAAACGTCAACTCTTTAGGATGCGTCATCTTATTATTTTCAGAATCAAAATTACATTTTCTCTTATGTTACAGGCAGAGAGGTTTAGCGAATACTGGCAAAGCTGGACCTGATTTATGACCCCATTGAGACCTGT